CCTTCTCCGGGTCAGTTTCCTTTTGAGGTTAGGAAGGGGGCAAGGCTGAAAAGGAAGGGACTTGAGTATGCAGCCCAAGAATTAGGAAGATGAAACCAGAACATGGACCACTCTCTGAGCCATCAGAATAGCTTGGAGAGTAAAGGAGCTTGCTGCCAAGCCTGACAACCTGAGTTCAATCCCCAGGACAGAAAATGCATTCCAGCAAGTTGTCAGGTTGTCCCTGGACTTCTGGTGGCACATGTACACACACACAGTAATAAACTTTTCACAACACATATCTAATTAGATGGAGAGTTGATTTGCAAATTTGAAACAGGTCCATTAGACTACACCAGTGTCCACCAAGCTTGGTGTGCTTAGGCATTGAGGAGGAAAGCGAGCACGTTTTTGAAAAATGTAAAGATGAGGAACATTCTGCACAAGTCAGGGTGATTGTGAGTTCTGTAAATTCACTGCAGTGTCCAGGTCACAGGACAGAGCTGGCCCTTGGTGTTTCTCAAACCTTAGGAGGCATTGTTAGAATCCGAGGCGTTGGGTTGCAGACTCGGCTCAGTTGACAGAGTGCCCGCTTAGTCTGTGGGAAGGCTTGTGTTTAACTCCCAGAACTGCGGGAACTGGCCGTGGTGGTCACACCTGTCATCCCAACAGTCAAGAACAAAGGTGGAACAAAGAGGCTCAGAAGTTCAAGACCAGCCCCTATTAGAGGGGAGAAAACGATTCCAAACATAGTTCCTTGTGGATTTGTTCCCAGCATGTCTATAGGTAACTTATCTCTGTCAAGTAAAGTTGACAAGTTCAGGGAGAGGTCTGTGCGCCCCTTTTGACCACTTTGTAGCCATTTTGAGTTTTTAAATATCTTTTAGTATGTGTGTCTTGCGTGTCTGTGTGTGTGTGTGTGCCGTAGAATGCACATGTGGAGGTCGGAGGTAGGAGTTGGTTCTTTCCTTCCACCATGTGACTTCCAGGGATTGAACTCGTCCTCAGGCTTGACAGCGAGTGCCTTTACCCATCTTGCAGGTTCACCAGAAGAGAGTGTTGGATCCCTGGGAAATGAAGTTACAGGGGATTTTGAGGTATCTGATGTGGATGCTGGGAACCAAATTTAATCTGACTGTGGAGCCATCTCTCCAGTTCCGTTATGATTTTTGTTTCAACCTCATATCCCTGGTATCTTAGGGTATCTATTGCTGTGACAAGACGCCATAACTATGGCAACTCCTATAAAGGAAAACTAAATATTTAATTGGGGTGGCTTGCTTACAGCTGAGAGGTTCAGTCCATTATCATCATGGCAGGACATGGAGGTGCACAGGCAGACATGGGCAGGAAAGGTAGCTCAGAGTTCTACATCTTCACAGGCAACAGGAAGTGGTCTCAGACACCTGGTGTATCTTGAGCCTATATGAGACCTCAAAGCACACCTCCGCAGTGACATACTTCCTCCAACAAAGCCACACCCACTTCAACAAAGCCTAGCACTCAAGAGACAGATGCAAGAGTATTACTACTATAAGTTCAAGGCCAGCCTGGGCTAAGTTGCAAATATAAGGCCAGCAAGTAGGACCCTGTTTAGGTTTTTAGGACGTCATGCCGGGCAGTGGTGGCACACGCCTTTAATCCCAGCACTTGGGAGGCAGAGACAGGCGGATCTCTGTGAGTTTGAGGTCAGCCTGGGCTACAGAGTGAGTTCCAGGATAGGTTCCAAAAGCTACACAGAGAAACCCCGTCTTGAAACTCCCTCTCCCCTCCCAAAAAAAGAAGACATCACTGGATTTGACACCAGAGGAGATGGAGCTCCTGATCATTAAATCCTAGGACCATCTGAAAAGGGTCCTGCAACAACCTAGAGCCACCTCATCCATAGTTTACCCCTTGGTAAATGATAAGTATTTTTGGATCCCCGATAGTAGGTTTCTCCTCCAATGCAATAAGCCAGATCAAGCCTAAATAAAAGTCCAAGTTTAACGAGCAAAGTGCCCCTGGGTGAGTCCCAAGCCCCCCAGAAGTACAGCGGCAGTGGCAGCAGGGAGGGAAGAAGAAAAATCACGAGGCAGTTCTAGGGACCCTGTAGGCGGGTCTTGAACAGCTCGGGGGAGGAGCTGCCATTTATCAAGCTTTCTGAGGGGGGGTAGGGTTTGGAGAGGGAGGAGGGGCTGAGGTGGAGCTTCCAACGGAACAAATGAGGCTTCCGGTACTCCAGTTCGTCCCAAGTGCAGAGTGCCACGTCCCTCTACCCATGAACTGCCCAGAAAAGCTGCTTTTTCCAGCTTCTGTCCTCAACAGTCCTGTGCTCAACAATTCCTGTGCTTGCCACCTTGGGAGGGTCAGCAAATGGAAATACTTGATTCCGTCACCACTGCATGCCAATCCACATCCCCACAGGCCAGAGAAAGGGAGCAGAGAGCCTGCCCACCAGTTCTCTAGCTTCAGGTACTCAAAATCCCCACACTGTTCATCTGTTTCAGGCCTAAAATCTCTGTTCTCTGCACTTAGACTTAGGAAAGCCCCCAAAAGAAGTATGGTTGGGCCTGGCCAGCTGAGGACTTGAGAGCTAACAAGGAGACGGCTTACGCCCAGGAGTACTTTCTTGCCTCAGACACTGAAATTATCTGAGGTGCTGGTCGGCTAGGGTGACCCTGAAAAAGGGTTAGACCAGATGTGGTGGCACACACTTTTAATTCCAGGCAGTGACAGGTCGATCTCCATGAGCCTGATCTACATTGTGAGTTCCAGGCCACCAGAGCTATGTAGCAAGACCTCTCAAAAACAGGGAGGGGCCGGGCGGTGGTGGCGCACGCCTTTAATCCCAGCACTCGGGAGGCAGAGCCAGGCGGATCTCTGTGAGTTCGAGGCCAGCCTGGGCTACCAAGTGAGTTCCAGGAAAGGCACAAAGCTACACAGAGAAACCCTGTCTCGAAAAACCAAAAAAAAAAAAAAAAAAACAGGGAGGGATAGGCTATGTGTGGGAATGCCAGGCTTGGGGGGGGGGGCGGGGGCGCATGCCTTTAATCCCAGCACTCGGGAGGCAGAGGCAGGTGGATCTCTGTGAGTTCGAGGCCAGCCTGGTCTACAAAGCGAGTTCCAGGAAAGTCGCAAAGCTACACAGAGAAACCCTGACTGGGAGGGAGGGAGGGAGGGAGGGAGGGAGAGCGAGAGCGAGAGCGAGAGCGAGAGCGAGAGCGAGAGCGAGAGCGAGAGCGAGAGCGAGAGCGAGAGCGAGAGCGAGAGCGAGAGCGAGAGCGAGAGCGAGAGCGAGAGCGAGAGCGAGAGCGAGAGCGAGAGCGAGAGCGAGAGCGAGAGCGAGAGCGAGAGCGAGAGCGAGAGCGAGAGCGAGAGCGAGAGAGGATGCCAGGCTTTCTGCCCTTAGCAGCCCTGCAGTGGCTCCAGCTAGGTGCAGCAGTGCCACTGACCATCCATCCTGGACCATCAAGGGCTCAGCAGTGATCTCATAGCTGGCACCCTCAAAGCGAGACTCCAGCTCACCCAGAGTACCCTCTGGCATCAAATGGGCAATAGGTCCCCCAAGCCTGAGAGGAAAAGAGTGATGTCTGGGACTCCTCCACTAGTCCTGGGCCTGGAAGTTGAGAGCAGACTATAGGCAGCTTCTGTTCTGAGAAAATGTCAGATATTGAAGCCAGCCTAGGCCACTCACAGCCTCCCAAGTGCCCTGGAAGGACAGGACCACGGCCTGCTGTTCTCTGCAGAATTTGGTGTTGAGGGTACTTGAAGGGACACTAGCCCACTGGAGCATGTGGCTGTGACTGGCCTTGCCCTTCCCCTTCCCCCATTCCCTCCACCTTGCTAAAAACCATTAGATTACATCCCTAAAACTAGCCACCGAGGTCTATTCCCTTATTTGGACACTTTCCTATGCCAGACTCATTCCTGAGGATGAGTACCAAAGTCCAGCAATCAAAAGCCCACTTTGGTTCACGTAATTAACTTGCCCAATCAAAATATACCACCGCATTCTAAACCCATTCTTACACAGACCTCCCCTTTTTCTGCTCTTAAAAATTACACCTGCAAGGTCATTTGTTGCTGTTTTTGCCTGAGTCAGAAATCAGTCACTTTGGGGGCTGGAGAGATGGCTCAGAGGTTAAGAGCACTGACTGCTCTTCCAGAGGTCCTGAGTTCAATTCCCAGCAACCACATGGTAACAACCATCTGTAACGAGATCTGGTGCCCTCTTCTAGCCTGCAGTCGTACATGCTGTATACATAATAAATGAATAAATCTTAAAAAAAAAAAAAAAGAAATCGGTCACTTCAAATTTTCTTCCCTGCCTAATAAAGGATCTCTGTGAAAACAGGTGTTTGAGTGTGGTTTGTGCCTGACCTGGGTCGGGAGGAAGACCCTGCTGTGCGGGGGAAGAGGAGGGGCGCTCTCCTTCAATACTGATGAACTGTTGAGTCAAATAGTACTAAAAACGCTTCAGAAATAAGAGTAGCAGCTGAGTCCCTCAGGTTTCTTGACAGTCAAGCCATTGTTACTCAAGGTGGGCAGGCCCTGGGTCAGGTTGTAGAGGACAAGGCCGTCCAATCAGAAGAAGTCACTGATACTGAGTACTCTGGCAACTGCAGAGCTGCCCGTGACCACAAAGGACAGGGCAGTGCAAGGACATGATTTGTAATTTGAAAATCTAAAGTTTAAAGTGCACCTGGAGAGCGCTTACTAGAAGAGGAAGTGTAAGCCTAACGTAAGTGGCTGTAAGCCCAGAATTTCGTGCATCCCGCCGGAAAGGGTAAGCAGACCAGACCGCCTGCGGGCCCGGGAGCTGCGGAGCCGAACGCTTGGGGGCGGTGTCCCAGCGTGTGAACTGGTAGGCGGAGCGTCCGGTGGTGGGCGGGTCATTCGCCGGCGACGCAGCCCATCAGGCTGTGGCCTTCAAGGTTGTCCGCCCCTCCCACTCCACCCGAGACTCCGAGGAGCCAATAGGCCAGACGACAAAAAGCTCCGCCCAGCGGGGGCGGGGCCACGGGGCCGCGACTCCCGTGGTGCTCCGCGGCCACTTCCGGGCCGGGCGCGGCGCAGGCCCCAGCTGTCATGTTCCGCGCTCTGAGCCGCCTGGCGGCGCGGCCCGGGGGCCAGCCCTCGACCGTGCTGCTCCTGCCCGCGCGCGGCCGCAAGACCCGCCACGACCCGCCTGCCAAGTCCAAGGTCGGGCGCGTGAAAATGCCGCCCGCAGTGGACCCTGCGGAATTCTTCGTGCTGACGGAGCGCTATCGGCAGTACCGGCAGACCGTGAGCGCTCTCAGGTGTGTGAAGGGCAGGCGGGCTGCGGCGCCCTCTGGGAAGTCCTGGGGAGGGAGGGTGGGTGCCGACTTGAAGCCCGTCCTCACCCAGGCAAGAGTTCATGTCAGAGGTGCGAAAGAAGATATACGAGGCCCGATCCGGGGTCCTGGCTGAGCGCAGGGCGCAGGAGGCCGCCGCGGAGCACCGGGAGCTCATGGCCTGGAACCGGGAGGAGAACCGGCGGCTGCAGGAGCTGAGGTGCGAGGGGCGAAGGGCTGGGTGGGCTGGGCTCAGCGCCAGCCTCGGCCGCGGGCCCCCTCACCCTCGGCTTCTTGGCCCTTTCAGGATAGCTAGGTTGCAGCTGGAAGCTCAGGACCAGGAGCTACGACAAGCCGAGGACCAGGCTCAGCGGGCCCGGGAGGCGCAGGCTTGGGTGCAACTGAAAGAACAAGAAGTGCTCCAACTGCAGGTGGGCCGAGGTTGTGGGGAGTGTGGGCATTGGGGAGCAGGGAGTCAAGGGGCACGGTCTTCAGGAGTCTTCCCGCTCTGCACCAGGAGGGTGTGCTTGCCCTCGCGGGTGATAGTCAATGAAAGGCTACAGGCTAGTATTGCCTTGTGGAACTAGAAATCAGGGAAACTCATAACTGAGACAAGCGTTTTTTTTTAAGTGTAAGAGGGAGTGGCGAGCTTGGGAGTCCACCCCCTCCAGTCAGGTTGTCACAGTTGGTTCTTGGGTTCTGGATGAGAGATCCGGTGGGTGATTGTCCAGAAAACAGGAATATGATGGTTGAGGTCACCAATTCTGCTGGAAGAATGATGGGACACTCAAAAAGGCCCGCGACTCTTTGAGACGCCCTTCTTTAAGGATACTTGGAACCTCCGCCCTCATGGGCTAGAGACAGTAAGCTGTGCGGAGTGCCAGCTCTGGTGGAGTTCCCATGGAGCTAACCTTTCTCTTCCCGTAGGAAGAGGCAAAGAACTTCATCACCCGGGAGAACCTGGAGGCACGGATAGAAGAAGCCTTGGACTCTCCGAAGAACTATAACTGGGCCGTCACCAGAGAAGGGCAGGTGGTCAGGAACTGAGCACAGAGGCTCCTAGGGGCCCAAAGTAAGGACAGTGCTTGCCAAGGGACCATGTGTATTGGGGCAGGAATTGGTGCATCCTAGGTGGCTGGCTCAGCCTTTTCCAGAGCAGGCCCCATTCATTCTAGGTTCTGCACTCACCACCTGACCAGGACCTTCTGACCCCACATACAAACTCAAGACAGCATTAGACTCAGGGAGTTCCTGTCACACAGAGAACCAGACTGGACTATGTCCCCTCTAGCAGCCAAGCTCTCCTCTGAGTCTCATGGAGTACTGCGAGCCAAATGTTTGTTGCTTTTATAAATAAAGTTTTATTGGAACCCAGTCTCGCCCATTCACTGGCTGTTGTTATAATGTCCTGATGACAGAAGTCGTTACAGCAGAGCCTGAACTGCTTGTAAAATCGAAGGTGTTTGTTATATGACTTTTTGTAGAATAAGTTTATTTGTCCCAATTTTTGGGAGGGTCTTTAGCTTACTAGCCAGAAGCAAGTTTCACCTGACGGAGCCACAAGTTAGTTACCTGCTTTGCTCAATCCGGGCTTCTGCTGACTAGAGTCTGATGTGTCCAAGAGCCAGAAAGCCAAAAGGATGCCCTATTTCTCCTGGTAGCCCTCCAGGAGTAGCTTCTGTGACATGCCCCTGTCCTGATACAATGTCACTGGACTACCCATCAGGTTCTACTGTCTGGGAAGACCTGGTTGCCCCAAAAGTGCCTTGACTTAGCAAAGCTCTCTGAGTGCCAGGAACAGTAAACACACTGACAGTACAGATCCCCGTTCAGTTGTAGGCCCTCAAGCAACACACACTTCTTCCAGCCAGCTGCTGCCCTTGTGTGTGTGTGTGTGTGTGTGTGTGTGTGTGTGTGTGTGTGTGTGTGTGTGTATGTGTGTATGTGTGTGTGTGTGTGTGTGTGTGTGTGTGTGTGTGGTGGCCAAAGGTCAGGCTGAGGTGTCATTCCTCAGGACTCTCACCTTGGTCTGTTTTTTTAAGTTTGTTTTTTGTTTTGTTTTTGTTCTGTTTTTTTGAGGCAGGGTCTTTCTCAGGAACCTGGGGCTCACTGGTTAGACTGCCTGGCCCAGCTAGCCCCAGAGAGTCCATCTGTGTGCGCTTCCCTGGCACTGGGATCAGATGCACATGCCCTGACACTTGGTGTGGTACCAGGGATCAAACCCAGACCTTCCTGACTACACTACATCACGTTAGTGACGGAGCTGTCTCCCCAATTCCTGCTGCTGCCTTTTTACTGTCATCCCCATAAACTTGAACGCCAGTGACGTCAACTCCAGTTACTATCAAAGAAAAGGAATCCTAGTTACTCTCCACAGTTCTGAGGGTTTGGGACTCCCCAGGAAACCCCAGGGACTATGGCAGCCTCTTATTCCAGTGAAGAATCAGGTGTTACGGTGTAAGCAGAGGTGACATCCTGCACTGAGGGCTGTGACACCCCACCCCCTTCAGGCTCGTAGATATTCTCTCCCTGACTGGTCAGAACACAGTGAGGTCCTGGATTCAAATAGCTGAGATAAGCTGATGGGATCATGTCAGGAGCAGCTTAGTCCATGCCTGACTCTGTTGTCTCAGTGAGGAGTTGACCCGAACCCTAGGAACTCTACTCAATGGATAGCCCCACCCACCCCTGCCCAGGTCTGTCTCCCCAGTCACAGTCGAGCACTGAAGCATTGATATTCCACCAAAACACTCTGGGTCCTTGCCCCTTCCATCTGAGGCTAAAGCAGCATGATGAGTAAGTGCTGGCCATGAATGGTGTGGTCCTGGCCTTTGGGGTTAGGTTAGGTCATGCAAAACCGAAGGAGGCGGCCTGTGGATGTTGTTCGAGTGGAAGAGTGCTTGCGTAGTGTGCACAGGCCCGGGGTTCAGTCCCCAGCACTGCATAAACCAGGTGTGTGGTTCACACCTGCTCTCTGGAGGTAAAGGCAAGAGGACTAGTAGAATTTCAAGGTCATCCTCAGCTGCATAGGGAGTTTGAGATCAACCTGGTTCCTCATGAGACTTTAAAAAACTGCCCGAGTGCTCATCGGTAGACAGGATGTGAAGGTGCCTACCACTGGTCCTGCGGCTGGGTGGAGGCAAACGGCTGTGGGTGATTTGAAGGCTAAGGAAAGCTGCACTTGCCAGCTCAAATGGAGTTGGGTGTTTTGTCAGTCTGTTTCATCCAGGTCTTATGGATGACCTTGGTCTAAACTGAAAGCCATTGCCCAGTTTCTCCTGAAGCACGGGTATTGAACAGGCCCAGGAGTCTTGAATGTTCCCCTGAGACTGCAAGAACAATGAAAACAGTCTCAGTAAGCCTAGTTGAATGCTCAAGAGTGAGTCTGGCAAGAAGAATCAAATTTGGAATTCTTTTTTCTTGCCAAATAGGAAGTCAAAAGCAATATTTCCACCCCAAATCTGGCCAGTCTACTGATGATGCTGGCCATCTCCTCTTTGGACGCCTTAACAAATACATTTGACACAGGAAAGTCCATTAACAGTGAGTGGAAACTTGAATGTTTATCCTCGTCAAGGAACAGAACCAGAACACTGCCTGGCCCAGCTTCAGGGTGAAGTCTTACTTAATTACTTCTTACTTCTTTCTTTCTTTCTTTCTTTCTTTCTTTCTTTCTTTCTTTCTTTCTTTCTTTCTTTCTTTCTTTCTTTCTTTCTTTTCTCTCTCTCTCTCTCTCTCTCTCTCTCTCTCTCTCTCTCTCTCTCTCTCTTTCTTTCTTTCTCCCCCCTGAGACAAGGTCTCTCCCTGGCTGTGCTGGAGATCCATATGTAGTCTAGGCTAGCTTCAAACTTACAAAAATCCACTTCCCTCTGTCTCCCAAATGCAAAGATTAAAGGTGTGTGCCTCAAGGCCAGTTAAGGGTTAAATTTCTAAAACCTTGAAATCTAGAACCTGTCGGGGGAACTGGGAAGATGGCTCTGGGGTTGAGAGCCAGTACTGTTCTTCCAGATGGTCTGAAATCAGTCCCCAGCGCCCATACCAATCAGCTCACAATTTCCTGGGTCTCCAGCTCCAGGGGTTACAGCACCTCTAGCCTCCACGGGCACATGTGCTTTCCCACATAGACACAAAAATAATAAAAATAGCTGGGCATGGTGGCACACCCCTGCCAGCACTTTAAAGGTGAGTTTAAAGCTGGCCTCACTTATTTAGTCAGTGTGAGGCCAGTCTGGGCTACATAAAACCCTGTCTCGGGGCTGGTGAGATGGCTCAGAGGTTAAGAGCACTGACTGCTCTTCCAGAGGTCCTGAGTTCAATTCCCAGCAACCACATGGTGGCTCACAACCATCTGTAATGAGATCTGGTACCCTCTTCTGGCCTGCAGGCATACATGCAGACAGAACACTGTATATATAATAAATAAATAAATCTTCAAAAAAAAAAAAAAAACCCTGTCTCAAAAAAAGGGGTGCGGGGGCGGGGGGGGGGAGGGAAATAGTACACACTGTAAACCTAGGACTCAGGAGCTGAAGGCAGGAGAATTTGAAATTTAATGTCATACTCAGCTACACGGAGAACTTGAGGACAGCCTGCATCAGGCCCTTGCAGTGCCCAAGGCTGGGAATTGAACCCGGGTCCTCTGGAAGAGCAGCAATGCTCTTAACTGCCCAGTCATCTCTCAGCCCTGCAGTGTTCCTCACAGCACACCACACTCAGTTCTGTGCATCTGCTGATTTGCCTGTGACCACGAGCTGGTACAGCAGAGGACAGGTCTCCTGGGGAACTGAACATTTCCACAAAACCTTTCTGGACAAACAATCTCTGTTGTTAAAAAATCAGAATCAAGTTGTATTTGCTCTTAGACAAAATTACATGCAAGAACAGGTGTTTTCAGGAAGATAAGTTGGTTATATACAAAATTTGTAGCTTATATTGTTCCAGAATTTCAGATAGTATAAATCTTTAATTGTTAAAACATATTACTATCTCAAATTTTATTTCAATAGGCTTTGGGGGCCTGGAGAGATGGCTCAGCAGTTAAGAGCACTGGCTGCTTTTCCAAAGGACCCAGGTTCAATTCCCAGCATCCACATGGCAGCTCACAACTGTCTTTCCTGTTCCAGGGGATCTGACACCCTCACACAGACATACATGCAGGCCAAACACCAATGTACATAAAATATAAATAAATTATAAAAATCTAAGACGTGTTTCAATAGCCTTATTGGGTTCTAGGGTGTAGTTTCATGGTAGAGTGCTTGCTTACCATGTCCCAAGGCCCTGGGTTCTATCCCACACATAGAAAACATCCCATAGTCTTTACAACCCACATACCTGATGGTCTTCCTTATGTTTGTTTCTCAAATAATGAAATCAAAGTTGTAAACTTTTTCCTTTGCTATCTTAAGGCCCTGTCACTACCGTGATAAGACTGTCCTTGACAGTGATAAGGGAGCTACAGGCAAGTCTTTCAGAAATTCATTTCCAATCTGATGCCATCTGGCAGCTCCATGGTATGAATCCAAGGCCACAATAATTAACAGGGATTGATGGCATAGCTCAGTGGTAGAGCAAATTCCTGGCATGTATGAGGCCCTGGGTTTGAGCCCTTGAATGAGGACCAAAAAAGCAGAAAGGTATCTAACACGTATTGAGAATTTACTATATCCTGGACACTACGCTTAGTTTTACATAATGTTCTCCTTTATCATGATAATGTTTTAAAATAAATTTATTTATTATGTATACAGTGTTTTGCCTGCATGTCTGCCTGCAGGCCAGAAGAGGGCACCAGATCTCATTACAGATGGTTGTGAGCCACCATGTGTTTGCTGGGAACCGAACTCAGGACCTCTGGAAGAGCAGCCAGTGCTCTTAACCTCTGAGCCATCTCTCCAGCCCCCACAATAATCTTGTAGGTAGATACCAGTATTATTCCTGTTTATTCCTTTTGACAAAACTGACGCATGTATTAAGGTATATAGCATGTCACTAATACTAGCCCTTGGGAGACAGGCTGAAGGACACTGAATTCCAGGCCAGCTTGAGCTACAGAGTGAGGTCCTATTTCTTTTCTTTTTGAGACCTTGTTTCAAGAAAGAAAAAAAAAAGTTAGTGAAGATACTTGAGTAGGAATGGAGGTGGCTGGGTTTCAAACCCAGATAGGTTGGGCTAGCAAGATGGCCCAGCGGGTAAGGGAGCTTGCCAGCCAGCCTGATAACCTGGATTAGTACCCAGCACCCACAGGGGAGGAGGAGGGAATCGAGTCACCAGGCTAGCCGTCATACTGTGCTGCTTCTCATGGTGTTTTCTCTAGTTCCAACTCATTCATGTGGATGTCTTGGTAGAAGCACACAGTAGGCCCGTCATGCACACACTCTCCCATCTCTCTTGGAGGCATTTTTTCTAAATTATTCTAATAATTATTTTGAAATAGAATCTCATATTGTACTTCAAGCTGACCTATAATTAACTGTGTATCCCAGACAGACCTACAATTCATGTCAATCCTCCTGTCTTAGCCTTCCAAATGCTAGGAACAGGTGTTAGGGTTTTTGTTTGGTTGGTTGGTTGGTTGGTTTTTCAAGACAGGGTTTCTCTGTGTAGTTTTGATTCCTGTCTCTGCCTCCTGAGTGCTGAGATTAAAAGCGTGCACCACCTCCACCTGGCTTACACACATAAATTCTTTTTAAAAAATTGTTTGATTCTTCAAGAGGGTTTCACTATGTAGCCCTGGCTGTTCTAGAACTACCTCGGTAGACCAGGTTGGTCTTGAACTCACAGAGATCTGCCTGCTGAGTGCTAGGATTAAAGGCATACACTACCATCTCCTGGCACAATATTTTAGAGATGAGCTGTCATGTGATTTATAGCCACAGGGTGATGAATTGTGCCCAAGATCACCAAGCTCTGGTAAGGAATTCATACCTGCTGACAGCTTGGCTGCTGCTCAAGACCATGAGTAGAGAAGCCCTGCCCAGGTTTTGCCCCCATAACTGACATGATAAATAGATATTGTTTAAAGAGGCTGTTCACAGCAGCAGAACACTGAGTCTTCCTCACACACATGGCTTCTTTCCTCTCCTCTGAGTACTCATGGGTCCCCTAAGGGGAATGTCAACAGAAGCCACCTCTCTTTCCGTAGCATTTACCACCACCTGCACAACTTGGATCTGGAACCCCAAGTAGGGTGGAGAGAGAATGAAGGACAGACAGACTGCACAGAAAGGCTGGGGTCAGGGGACTGTATGCAGCAACCCAGGACCTGCACAGCACAGGGGGAGGGGCTGGCTGTACCTTCTCTGTAGGCAGCCATCCCAGGTTGTAAACATCCAGGAGGAGGCTGCAATTTCTATTGGCTAAAGCACACAGTGGTCAGTCCTTTGTAAGCACTAACACACTGTCAGCATTTGCACTCAAACCAGAGGAAGGCTTTTCCATATCCCTATTCACCTCAGTCCCTGTCGCCCCCGCCCCAGGTGGTGGTGGGGTTGCCAGATTCTCATACATCTGAGGCCCATGTCAAACAGTACACGTTCACTCAGGGGATCCAGACATAGACCTTGTCTAGGCACCCAGCACGCTGGTGCCACCGCCGGCCCCTCCTAGCACACATTGCCTTTGGAGTATGTTATGCTTACTTGTGTTTCCCACGGTGGCTTCTAATTGCTATAGCAAAACCACTGACAATTTTTAACTTGTAAAAACAAAAGGTTTAATTTGGTAGGTTTTGAGATAGTATCTCATAAACTCCCGCCTCGCTTTGAACTCTCTTTTAGCTGAGACTGGTCTGGAACTCCTGATCCTCTTGTACATTTCCAGCATGCTGAGATTACAGGTATTTGCCATCATGCCTGGAAGAAAGAGTTTATTTCAGCTCACAGTTTCAGAGGCTCTAGTCCAGGATCTGTTGGCCTACTGCTCCCAGGTCCAGGGACATCATGATAGGAGCACACGGAGGAATGAACTCCTTCATTTCATGGCTGGGAAACCAAAAAAGAGACCTAGGAGGGACCAAGGTCTCGCTACCTCCTTCATGGGCATGCCCTCAATGACCTATTGACCTTCTACTGGGTCTCTATTTTAAAGGTCTCGCCATCTCTCAAGACACCTTCCTGAGGACCTACAGTATAGCACATGGATCCTTGGAATACACTCAGCTCCAAACTAAAGCAATAATCCAATATGCTTCTTATTTCACATTTTGCCTCCTTCAATGACATATGAACCCCATGGGGATAGTGATTTTTCTCCTGGAGCTGACATTGTACCCAAGGCTTCATGTACACAACCTTGCATATATGGTAGACAAGTGTTCTCCTGCTAAGCTGCAGCCCCAGCCTGAGGCCAAGGAGTCTGTCTGCTGTTTACTGGTGTTCCCAAGCACAGATAAGTTGGTGAGCACATGAAGGCATGCTGGCCTTATGAGAGCATTATGTGCACATTATTACATGCTAATTTATGTGCATAGATTACCTTAGATGAGATCACTGTGCCCAGAATATGTGGGAGGTCTCTCTGGGGCCATTTTGGGGGTCAAGCTCTTGGCCTTCTATGCCAAGAATGCCAATAAGCTAATCCGGATAAGAAATGAGCTGATTTGTAATACAGGTCAACCTGACCACCAACTCAGCATTTGATAGCTCACACAGTGACTCAGGATCCGTGACTCTGGTCAGATGAGCTCTGGAACATGCTTTGCCCTGCGGGCTGCAGTCCCTTGTGGAGAAAGTTAACCATGAAGACAAAGACCCCAGGGGCTTTTCCATTCTCCCTAGGGGCAGAGACTGCATGTAGCGTGAGCTGGTCTCTGGGACACTGGCTGTCATTTCTTCCTGGATACTGCAGGTTACTTCCTAAGGAAGCAGCTTCAGATGGAGATTAGAACACGGGCCTGGGACCCACCTCTGTGGAAGAGAAGGGATGTATGAGCAGAACTGCACAGCCCAAAGCTGAAATGCAGTTAGAGGTGCCCAGCATTTGTAGCAAAATGGACCAACCATTACATGTGGCCACCTGAGAAGGGCCAGGGACAGGTGGCTCTCTGCAGCTGAGACCATTGTTGTCCATATTTCAGCAGCTGATGGCAAATATTTTCTTAAACAGGAGTCTAGCTACCTAGCTTGGTGGCGCATGCCTTTAATCCCAGCACTTGTTAGGCAGAGGCAGGTGGATCACCGTTAGTTCAAGGCCAGTCTGGTCTACACAGCAAGTTCCATGCCAATCAAGACAATATAATGAGACTTTATTTCAAAACAAACAAGCAAAAAGCAAGAGTCTGGGCAATGCTTCTTCTTTCTTTAAAAAAACTGTTTAGGTTTATTTACTTTATTTCATGTGTCTACATGTTCCGACTGCATGTATGTCATGCACCATGTGTGAACCTGGTGCCCTTGGAGGTCAGAAGAAGGAATTGGCTCCACTGTAATTGGAGTTATAGATGGTTGTGAGCCGCCATGTGGGTGCTGGAAATCAAGCCTGGGTCCTCTGCAAGAGCAACTCTTAACCACCCAGCCAACTCCCGGGCCCCAAGATGATAAGATATTTAAGACAGGGGCCCAGAGATAATTTTCAGGTTATTGAGGCAAGCCCTCGAAGAGGGTAGTGAGTCTTTAGTCCCTCCTGGAGATCTTTACTTTATTTATCAGCCATGAAATAAAGGGGTTGAATCTTCCATGCCTTCCTGCCATGATGTTTTTCATTTTAAACTGTATTAAAAATGCAAAAAATGGCCAGGCGATGGTGGCACATGCCTTTAATCCCACCACTCGGGAGGCAGAGCCAGGCGGATCTCTGTGAGTTCGAGGCCAGCCTGGTCTCCAAAGCGAGTACCAGGAAAGGCACAAAGCTACACAGAGAAACCCTGTCTTGAAAAAAACAAAAAATTTAAAAAAAAATGCAAAAAATGGGGGCTTAAGAGATGGTTCAGTGGGGCCGGGCGGTGGTGGCGCACGCCTTTAATCCCAGCACTCGGGAGGCAGAGCCAGGCGGATCGCTGTGAGTTCGAGGCCAGCCTGGACTACCAAGTGAGTTCCAGGAAAGGCGCAAAGCTACACAGAGAAACCCTGTCTCGAAAAACCAAAAAAAAAAAAAAAAAGAGATGGTTCAGTGGTTAAGAGTGCACACTGCTCTTGCAGAGGATGAATTTTGTTCCCAGGCCCCACACAGGCCAACTCACAACCCCCTCTAACTACAGCTCCTGGGGATCCAACATCTTCTTCTGGCCTCCAGGGAAACCTGCACACACATGCACACAAATAAGAATGAAAATTAGGGGCTGGAGAGATGGCTCAGAGGTTAAGAGCACCGACTGTTCTTCCAGAGGTCCTGAGTTCAATTCCCAGCAACCACATGGTGGCTCACAACCATCTGTAATGAGGTCTGGCGCCCTCTTCTGGCCTGCAGGCATACATGCAGACAGAACATTGTATACATAATAAATAAATCTTTAAAAAAAAAAAAAAAAAAAAAGAATGAAAATTAAAAATGTAATGCAAAAACTGTCCCAAAACATATTACTGCTAGCGTGCTGGGTACTGGACCCAAGGTCTCTCACACACTAGGGAAGCAGTCTGCTACTGAGCTGCATGGGGCATCCCTCCCATGCAGACCTCAGCAGACCTACAGCTCAAAGCTGAAATGCAGCCAGAGGTGCCCAGCATTTTTACCAAACTGCACCAACCATTATGTGTGGCCACCTGGGAAGGGTATGACCTCGGGCCAGGTGGCACTCTGCAGCTGAGGCCACCTGTTGGCCACCCATTCTGAGGTACTGGACATCTGTGAAAATAGCTCCAGGCTAGGCTGCACCTCCACCCCCACCCAATTCTCTCTGTCCTCTTGTAACTCAGGCCACCCCTTCCAGGCTACTTCCCCGTGGAGCTCCAGGTCATTAGCAGAGGCGGTGACCTTGACCCTATCTAGACCCTGCAAATGAAGGGCCTGCCTCTAAACAGTGTGGATAGATTTGACCCGCAGTGACCTGCTGTGACCAGTCAAGCAGTGGCCCTCTTAAGACAGTGCTCCACCAAGGCAGTGCCCAGACATAAAAAGGTCGGACTGGGCTGGAGCAACCATCACCTCTGGTGGGTCGAGGACTCAGAGCACCAACGCCATGGCCTGCCCCAGTCTCGCTTGCTGCCTCCTTGGCCTGCTGGCTCTGACCTCCGCCTGCTACATCCAGAACTGTCCCCTGGGCGGCAAGAGGGCTGTGCTGGACTTGGACATGCGCAAGGTGAGTCTCCTCCATCCCGTCCGGTTCCAGCAGAGCAGACTCCCACCCGCAGAGAGCACCCCGGCACTCTTGCCAGCCCTACCCCAGCCTCGCGTGGGAAGCCAGGGCGTTGGGCAGGGTTAGGCTCCCGCTCGACGCCGTGAAGGCGGAGACAGCGCCCGAGCATCCACTGTCCCTCGCCCCGCCACAGTCCCGATACGGGACCGTGCACTACGGCCACCGTGTCCTTCCCCGCAGTGCCTCCCCTGCGGGCCCGGCGGCAAAGGGCGCTGCTTCGGGCCCAACATCTGCTGCGCCGACGAGCTGGGCTGCTACGTGGGCACCGCCGAGGCGCTGCGCTGCCAGGAGGAGAACTACCTGCCCTCGCCCTGCCAGTCGGGCCAGAAGCCGTGCGGGAGCGGGGGCCGCTGCGCCGCCGCGGGCGTCTGCTGCAGCCCGGGTGAGCAGGAGGGGGCTGGCAGCACCGCCCGGCAGGGAACTTTCGGGTTTGCTGCTCCAGCCGCTGACCCATTTTTCTTGCAGATGGCTGCCGCACGGACCCCGCCTGCGACCCTGAGTCTGCCTTCTCCGAGCACTGAGCCCTCTCGGGGATACATTTAGAGCTCACCCTTCACTCCCCCAGGCCACCGCCAGAAAGAAATGACAAATAAAGCAGATTTCCTCTTCAAACTTGACTGGTGTCTAATTGTCAGAAACGGGAGGGAGGAAAGGCATCGGGATCACGGGCCCTGGCAATTCCGAGCAAGAACAGCCCAGCAGGCTGCTCAGGGGACAGAGGGGTGCTCTATGGGCTGTCACCACCCACCCTACTGGAGTGGGCCTGTGGCACACAGACTTAGAGCAGCATTTGAAAGTCCAAACAGCGACGGTGGACATCTGTGGAAAAAGACAAGGCCTGACAAGGGACTGAGTGGAGGACAGTCAGACAGGCAGGGGAACTCATCCAGATGCTTCCTGATCTGAGAGGAGACTTTAGCCACACCCTCAGGTTGAGGGGGCGAGCCTGGCCTAGAAAGAAGGGTCTTGGCCGGGGATGATAGTTACAGAGCCATACGGTTTCTATACACGGGCCTCAAGGAGGCCACCCCTGGAAAGATCAAGACCCAGCTGTCCTCTGCTGTCCTCAGTGCGGGGGCCTGAGCTCAGAGCCCTGTTTCTGCCTCTGCAGGACAGCATTCCCTGGGGCAGCATGGAATCTAAGAGCCCGTGAGCACAAAGGACCACAAAACACAGAGCCCACAGGCAAAGAGCGAAACCCACAATCTATACTGCTCATCCACTGCTGGATTAAATCCACTCCCCGTGCCACAAAACATGCCTCGCTCAGCTGCGGGTGTTCTCAACAATGATGGCAGAAGGCGCATGCCCCTACTCCACTGCCACCCAGGGGCACGTGATTCATTGTTAGACTAAAAAGTGAAGGCTTGGGTGGAGCTCAGTGGAGGAGGGTAAGGCCCTGGGCTCCATGCCATCACAACAAGTAAATAAATACACAAGTACTCTCTGTGGGTCTCACGCCCAGCAAAAGAACACAAATGACCCCCATCACCACATGTGGAACTCACAGACAGGGTGGAGGCCAAAAAGATACATGAAAGAGACTTCAAGATTGATTTGTTGTTTTGTTTTGTTGTTGTTTTTCATTTTTCTGGGGCTGGGTTTCGAAGACTGTCTATCTTAAGACTTTTATTCTGTTAAATTTCTATTTCCGCGAACGTGTCTCTGTGAGAACATGTGCACATGAGCGCAATGCCCATGGAGACAGGAAGAGGGCGTCACTACCTCTAACCTGGAGTCACAGGTGATTGAGTCATCCTGGTGGGTACTGGGAACAGAACTGAGGTTCTCTGCAAGAACAATGTGCTCTTCTAACTCCTGAGCCATCTCTCCAGCCTAAATTTTTCTTAATTATATTTCATTATTTTGTTATTGTGTGGATGTGGGTGGGGGATGGTGCGCACATGCCACAGCACACATGCGGAAGTCAGAACTCTAGGCATCTGCTCATATAAGCCCCCTTGATTTTGGAGGCTGAAGAGGGGAGGTAAGTGTTTACTGTGAATTCTAGAAGAGCCGGCCTTTCAGTGGCTCTGTAGCTGGGTAAGGTCCTCCCTGGAAGGGAGGGAGAATAGAAAGAAGGCCCAGTGGGCAAAAGTAATTCCTCTCCTTGAGGAATAGGAGAATGATTCTTCTAGAAGCAGGTGGGGGAAAGAGGGGTTACAATTCTCCACCTGGGCAGAGGAGCAGAATGAGGGGTCTCAACCTCACCCTGAAGCTGCTCATACACCAGCCCGAGGAATCAAATCAAGTGCAGCCAAGTCACCAGTCACTCCTACCTCCTCTGCTTGCTTTTCCGTCTGGTCTTTTCCTTGGTCCTATCCTCATGGAGGTCAGACCCTGAGAGGGCCACATGGGAAGAAGGCTGGGGTAGAAGTCCACCTGGCCCCTGTACCCTGGTTAAACCAAGGCATGCAGATAGACTTAAAGATGCTGGGATGGGGGCTGGAGAGATGGCTCAGCCTTCAGGAGCACTGGCTGCTCTTCCAGAGGTCCTGAGTTCAGTCCCAGCAACCACCTGGTGGCTCACAACCATCCGTAATGAGATCTGGTGCCCTCTTCTGGCACACAGGCATACAAGCCTGCAGAACACTGTATACATAATAAATGAATAAATCTAAAAAAAAAAAATGCTGGTATGAGAAGCAAAAGACACCTTGACTCTGTCCAGGGCTGACCATGCCGAGCCACCCAGTCAGATCACTCAGACTGACCTCTGTCTTCCACAGTTGCCCCTGACCTCAGAGCCTGCAGAGTACCCCAAAGGAGATGCAGCATCTTGTGGCCCCTAAACCTGGACCAAGATGGCATATGAAGAAGATGCCCAAGACAGATGAGGCAGAGAGAAGGGTAGGAAGCTAACAGGAGGGGGAGGGGGCAGAAGAGACCAGGAAAGGATGGAAGGCTTGGGAGAGCAGCCAGAAGGCCAAGACACCGGCAGGCTTGGGGGAAGGACCAGTGCTGAGGGGCTGAAGCCGGGGCTCAGGGCGGTCGAGAGGACTGGGATTCAGTTCTCAGCATTCGCACGGTAGTTCACGACCATCTGTAATTCCAGCCCTAATGAACCCGATGCCTTCTTCTGACCTCTGCAGGCACCAGACAGCTCAGGAGCTGAACTGAGCACACCTGTAGTGCACAGACATACACGACGGAAAAACACACGTACACATAAATAAATCTAAAATTTTAGTAACGAAAGAAAAGCTAATGAGGAGAAGGGGGGAAGGAGGGACAGAGGTCAAGTGCTGGTACCAACTTTGCTCCAGAATTGGATTACTAAAGGGGAAAAGTGCTTATGTCCGGGAGCTACTGTGTGCGTGCCTTGGTGCTGGATTTGTGTGTTTGTCTGGGTCTGTTGCTGTGGTTGAGGTCAAGAGTCATGGAAACGCCCCAGAAGTTGTTATCTTCTGGTCTCCCCTTCTCTTCCCCTCCTCCTCCTTCCTCTGTGGTGCTGGGGACCAAATCCAGGCTAGGGAAGCATTCTGCTAATGAGCCACAGCCACAGCCTGGCGTATCTCCCTGAGAGCAGGTATATGTGCCTGTAGGGGACTTGCTGCTGGGCTCTCAGGAGTCTGCCTCTCAGTGGCTGGGTCCCAATGGTAGAGACAGCAGGTGGCACTGTCTCATTTAGGTCTGGGTTAAGTCTCTGCTCTTTCTCCCACCCAAGCACCGTCTTGGGCAAAAGTGACTCTGCACTGGAAACCAGGAGAGGTCGCTCAAGTTGTTTGTATCTTAGTCTGGGATGAAACTGGGCCTGAGATGGTGTCCCCCCCCCTCCCGGCTCGTCCCCTTACTTCTCTGTCACTCTCGCTGATTTGTCTCTCGTCCTGTCTTGCTCTGTCTCCCTTATCCACCAGTGTCCTATCTCTCTGCTTTTATTTCGGTCTTAGCCAGAGAATCGCTAAACCACCCTCTCCAGAGCCTCCCTGGGCCTCAGGCCTTGCCCTTCTTCTGAGCTTGGGGCTGCCTTTGTCCTGAGTGTGATGTGGGTATCAGGAGCTCTCGAACGCTTCCCTTATACTGTAAGTCTTACAGGTCCTGGCCTTTCTGGGCGTGGAGGCGTGGACTGTCCGCGACTTTGGGTGCGGGGATTAGCCAGTGCAGAGTAGAAAGTTCGCACTCCAAGCTCCCCCCTCCCCTCCCCTCCCCTCGCCACCCCAGAGATAGAGACAGACACCAGGGTGCATTTTTTAAAGTTTATTTTCCATGCTGTAGGGGCGAGGCGTGGGGGCGACGGCTCAGTAGCCCCGGGGCTTGGCAGAATCCACGGCCTCCCGCGTGCCAGCCAGCTGCACCAGCCGGAGCAGCAGCGCCCGGGCCGGCCCGTCCAGCTGCGTGCCGTTGCTCGGCTCGCGGGCGCGGGTGAGCCGGAGAAAACCCTCGCGACACTCGGGCTCGGTCGCGCAGCTCTCTGAGGGAAAGGATCTGTGAGCGCAGACGCCCCGGGGTGGACGCAGCTCCAGGGGCGCAGTCCCAACGCCGCCCTCCCACCCTGACCACCGTCCCGCCCCCCCCCCGCCCCCGCCACGTGCCAACCCTCGCCCCCCTTCTCACCCGCCAAACCGGTATCCCTGCCCCCACCTCACGTCCTCACTCCCACCCACCCCCGCTTAACGCCCGCCTCCACCCTCCCAGCTACCCCACCCCGCGCCCCCACCCCGCACCCCCACCCCGCCGGGCCCCGTGCGCACCGTCGCTGCAGCAGACGCCCGCGGCGGCGCAGCGGCCCCCGCTCCCGCACGGCTTCTGGCCCGACTGGCAGGGCGAGGGCAGGTAGTTCTCCTCCTGGCAGCGCAGCGCCTCGGCGGTGCCCACGAAGCAGCCCAGCTCGTCGGCGCAGCAGATGTTGGGCCCGAAGCAGCGCCCTTTGCCGCCGGGGCCGCAGGGGAGGCACTGCGGGGAAGGACACGGGTGAACGGGGAGCGAGGATAAGAGCGGCGCTGGGAACCCAGGGCCACCCCGCTGCTGTCCCGGCCTCGCGCTGCAGGTGCCCCGGCGCTCTCCAGGCCGAGAAAGAGCAGTCAAGGGCAGGAGTGGAAATCTGAACTGCTAGGTCATCAGGAGGGTCAGTTCTCACTAGGAGCTCTCAAAACCCTCACCTGCCTTGGCAGAGTCTCCCCGGGGCTGCAGCACTTGGGGACCGTGCTCAGCTCTGAGGTGTCACTGGTGTGCAGCAATCTCTCAGAGGCTTACTTCTCTGACATTCAGATGGCTCTCCTACACATCCCAAGCCGCTCTCCCCCCATCATCCCCCACAGAGCACTCCGCTTCTTGTAGAGGGTTCACACCCTTGCTCTCATTTTCGGGCCTTTCTCTTACCCCTGCCCCAAGCCCGTGGGCCTCACCTGGGCCTTAACCTCCTGGCCACCTAATTTACCCTATTAGGTAGGCGGCAGGGAGCAAATTAGGGTGATGTGTGCACGGGCACCTGGTGCCTCAAGCCTCCAAAGGAGCTCTGCGAACAGAAGGTGGACTGTGGGAGCCGTCTCCCTGACTGCTCCAGTCTGTTCAGTAACTCAGAATTGTGGCCTGGACAAAATTGAGCCTGGTGCTGGATTGCCCTGAGCTCTGCCAGAAGGGCAAGACTCACAGCTAGACATGCAGACAAGAGATTTGGGGAAGAGGCGGGGGTTAGGTATGGGACATACTCCACTCAGGCATGCACAGGGCAATGGCCATCTTCTTGTGGACAGGAAGAAATTGGCACTGGTGGCTACAGAAGGAGCTTTGAGAGGCTGAGCTGGGTGGGGAGGGCCTTAGATTCAGGCTAGAACAGATCTTTGTATAATCTAGCCAGTCCTGATGAGCTGACACCCCACCCCCCTTCCCGAGGTGTGCAGAGAAGCCTGGGCACCCAGTTTAGCCTGCTCCTGTCCCAAGCCCAGTTATAAGGCAGTATCTCTCATTTCTGGCATCCCCCTGCACAGGGACAGTGTCCTTCATGCAGCTTCCCTGACACTCGGTCCCCTCACCCATTTCAGCGGGCCGTTCACTATGCTACATTGCCTCTTTCCAGGAACCTCCCCTAAAGTCTGACTTCTCTGACAATTTGTCTCCCTCTCCTAGCCCATCACCCATTCCTAGGGCACTGCCAGCGGCCCTGAAACGGACCACAGTGGTACCTGTCTCAGCTCCATGTCAGACACGGCCCTCTTGCCGCCTCTCGGGCAGTTCTGGAAGTAGCAGGCAGAGGTGAAGGCCAGCAGGCTCAGGAAGCAAGCAGACAGCGTAGCGTTGAGCATTCTGGCGAGCATAGGTGGGCACTGTGTGCAGCGCTGCTCTGTTGGCTCTGTTCTGCTGCCCTGGCGGGCTGTCTATTTATGTCTGCAGGTGTTCCCTAGGAGGCGACAACGTGGCTGCTAACCCCCTCTCCGGTGGCTCCCCAGGAGCCCACGGCCGACAGGTCCCAAGCTGTCAGCAGTGATTCAGGCGTCTGGGGACACACGTGGGCCTGTCTGTGCAGAGCATGTTGGAGGAGGGGGCAGGCCAGCAGGCTGTCATTGGCCACGGTGTGACTGGAGCAACTGTCACAGTGTCTGTGGTGCTGTATGATCTGGGAGGTGAGCCGACGCAAGGATCACCTGGAAATCATATCTGAGCATCCTGGCTGCTCTCAACAGGTTATAGGGGTCAGCGGGCCCCATCCAGTAAGAGCTGTCATGTTAGGGCAGGGTCAGGACCAGGAGAGGTGGGGAAAACTTGTTAGTTTCGGGGTAGGGTAAGTGAGAGGACTTTGGGAAGGCAATTCCCATTTGCAGCCTCATTGGCCCAAAGCCACAGTTATGACATCAAGGGCAGCACACAGATTCACAGGTCTGTCCTGTGCTAGATGTGGCTGGCTTCAAGATGCCCAGGTTGTTTCAACCCCCATGCATGCCCCTGTAGAGCCAAGTATGGGGACTCAGATTCTGAGAATGGAGTCTTTTTTTGGTTTCTCTGTGTAGCCCTGGCTGTTTTTGACTCACTCTGTGGTACAGGCTGGCCTTGAACTCACAGAGATCTGCCTGCCTCTGCCTCCCGAGTGCTGGGATTAAAGGCCTGTGCCACTGCCGCCTGGCAAGAATGGAGTCTTGGGGATAGTGCCCGTCTGGTTCCCACTAAGGACATGAATTGGGAAGCTACTGTGAAAATGAGAACTCCAGACTCGTGAGGTGCGAAGATCGTGTGAAAGATCTGGTTCACGGGCCTGTGGCCTGAGCTACTTGGGAAGCTAAAGTAGGAAGGCCAAAAGTGCCAGGCCAGACTGGGTAACTTAGTGAGACCCTGTCTCAATATTAAAAAATTAAAGAAGGAACTGGGCGGTGGTGACGCACACCTTTAATCCCAGCATGCGGGAGGCAGAGGCAGGTGGATCTCTGTGAGTTCCCAGCCTCCTGGGACTTCATAGTTAGATCCTGTCTCAAATAAACAGATAGAGAGATAGATAGATAGATGGATGGATGGATGGATGGATGGATGGATGGATGGATAGATAGATAGATAGATAGATAGATAGATAGATAGATAGATAGGCAGAAGGCTGAGGATAGAGCTCAGGAGTAGTCCTGGGTGAAATCCCGGGTACTAAAAAGAGGAAAATGCTGAGGAGAGAGACCCATGCCCCTAGGCTGGTACGGTCTCAGGCCTAAGGCAGGAAGAAGATTGTTCTGCAGGAGGAAGTGGGAGGAACCACAGCCAGACAGGTCCCGTCTGAAGAAGCAGAGTTAGTTCCTGACTTGAGGCTGTAAGTCATTTGTTTCTTTCTAAGGCAGTTTAATGTAGCCCAGGCTGGCCTTGAACCTATTGTGTGGCAGAAGCAGGCTTTGAACTCTTAATCTTTCTATCTCCACCTCTCCAGTGCCAGGATTATAGGCATGTACCACCACACTCAGCTTTGGTCTTCACAGCCTCCTTTCATTGGGCTACTAGAAAAACCCTCTGGTTTTGGCCCAGACTAGTCAGCCCATTCCTTCTGGCCTGTGCACAGGCCAGGGCCCTTCCAGCTCCCATAGGCTTCTGCTACCTCTCCTGGCTATACCAGTGTGCTTCAAGGGAGCTCCAGAGAAACATTTGGCCTTGCCGCACCAAGTACAGTGGGGCTTGGTAGCCAAGGTGGCCTCCCACACTCAGGCTCCGAGGCTAGACCTTTTCAGGAATGACTGCCAGCACTCGAGGCCTCTGACAGGAAGCCAAGCACGTTGACTTCTGTGTCTTGAAGCTTCCTGACGTGGGCAGGTCACCGGATGTCTGACTCCCCACTCAGTTCCAGAATAAAGTAGTGAAGCCGGGTAAACCACTGCGTAGGGCTCTGAGCGCTGAATCACTTAACATGAAACTTAAGGGAAGTGCTTGCGTCATGGTGATGTTAGTTGACAGCAGGATTGTATTATTAATGTCCTCATTAAGAGAGAAGAGGTTGTTTTCCAGAGAGAATAGCTTCCTTGGCCAGAAGAAACCTTCTTCTCCCACTTACGGATGAGAATGAGCTTTGGGGGAGACGGCTCTCCTGCTCAGTTGTGAGGCGGGTTGCTGCTGGGGGTGGGGTGGGGCGCAGATGCCTGGCTCAGGCCTGTTGTGTGGCCTTGTCCCTAATTTACCCTCTCTGTACTTCAGTTCCAAATTATCATCTGGAAGCTGATGGGGCCTGATTGAAAGACACATGTCTACCAGGGCTGTCATTCTAAGGCCCCTGTGAAGACGCCATGCTCTGTCCCCCAGCATGGATGTCAGAGGTGCATCAGGCCTAATCTCCACCTTCTCGGCATCTCTGCTGGCTAGAAAACCTCCCAGGAGTGTGCTGGCTCTTTTCATCTCAGGTACCCCCACCCAACATGCCGCATGGACTCCCAAGATACCCCACACCTTCTTTATTTCCTCATAGCTTATTTTTCCCAAATAACTTATTTTGAGACAGGGTCTCATTCTGTAGCTCTGGCTAGACTGGAAATCTCTAAGTAGAACAGGCTCGCCTCAAACTCACAGCCTACCTCTGTCTTGGGAGTGTTGCCATTAAAGATAGTGAACCATCAGTCTGTCCTGTTATCTGTCACTCTTACTCAGAAGTCAGCATTTACTCTGAAACTCCCGCCACTCAGATTTCTGCCCAAACCAGCCTACTGAAACTTCATTATTATAATCATAAAGTGCGCTGCCGTTTGGTGGACCCATCGTGTCTTTATTTTACATGGCCTCTCCCAGCAGAATTTCACACGATGAAGACTTTGTCCTTTTTTACAACACACTTCATCTGGTTCCATTCTGGTTCATTCTGGTTCTTGGGTCCTCTACCACACTCTCTCTGCTTCCTTTCCTGGCTTCACGTTGGCTTCTACACGCTGGAATATCCCAAGACTTGATATTGTGTCCCTCCTTTTCCTTTTCCTAGGGTATTTTTATACTTTTTACAAACTAATGATGTCCCAGATCATGTCTTCATTCTGAGCATTTTTAGAACCGCCCAGTGACAGGTCCGTTGGCCTGGAATCTGCCCTTATGACTTAACATAGTCCGATTTAGCTCCCAGTTTTCTTCCAGGGTTCCAATCTGCAATGGCATCACCATTCCCACAGCTTAACACCCACTGCCCTGCAGTGATACTGTGTCCCCCAATATATTGTGCACTTTAATAAACTTATCTGGGGTCAGAGGACAGAACAGCCACTAGATAGACATAGAGGCCAGAAAATGGTGGCGCACACGCCTTTAATCCCAGGAAGTGGTGGCAGGAGGCAGAAAGGTATATAAGGCGTGAGGACCAGAAACTAGAGCCAGTTAAGCTTTTAGTTTAAGCAGCGGTTCAGCTGAGATCCATTCGGATGAGGACTCAGAGGCTTTCAGTCTGAGGAAACAGGATCAGCTGAGGAATTGGTGAGGTGAGGTTGGCTGGCTTGTTCTGCTTCTCTGATCTTTCAGTGTTCACCCCAATACCTGACTCCAGGTTTGTTTTTATTAATAAGACCTTTTAAGATTTGTGCCCCAACTAGAGCATCTCTCACTTAAAAAAATTAAATTATATATATATAATATTGTGTGTGTGTGTGTGTGTCTATATGTCCACATGAGTACAGGAGCTCCCAGAGTACAGAAGAGGGCATCAGAGTTCTTGGAGCTGGAGTTACAGGCAGTTGTGAGCCCCGGAAATGGGTGCTGGGGACCAAACCGGTCCTTTGCAAGAGCAGTGGGAGTCTTGTCTCTCCAGCGCCTCACTCCTTTTTTTCTTTCTAACGTGGGTCTGGGTTGGTGGGGTGCACAGCTGGTTAACACCTCCTTTACCCTGAAGTTCCTCCCTCCCTCTCTTGCCCCTCCACCTGTACCTCTCTCCTGTCTGTGGGGTGCGCATGTGTGTATGTTTGCATTCCTTCTAGAATGAAAGCCCTAAGTCATGGAGGACACCATCATTTGTATTTATTACTCTCCTGAGAGTTTTCCCAAACAGTGGATTTTTCAGTTCTATAAAGAATAAAGGGAGGGTGGGGAGCCCTGGGGACCAGCCTTAGCTCTCCAGGACATTGCTGTGTGACCTTGGGCAAGTCAAACTCGTTTTCAAGGTTACTTACTTGATGTACCAACCCCACGTCTTACCTCACTGCAGACTTGAGACCGTGTATATGTATCCTCGTCTAGCCAGGAACTTGCTGTGTAGCTGAATCTGGCCTTGTTCCTTGTCCACCACCCCCCCACCCCACCCCCACCCCCCACCCCCCCCCCACCCCCCCCACCCCCGTGCTGGGACTATGGGCGTGTGCCACCATGCTGTTTCACTGAGGTCTAAGAAAAATCAGGTGAGGTGTTCTAGATTAGGGCATTCAGTTTTTCTCTCTTGTCTTTGTTTGTTTTTCAAGACAGGGTTTCTCTGTGTAGCTTTGGCTGTCCTGGAACCTGCTCTGTAGACCAGATCCACCTGCGTCCTCTGCCTCCTGAGTGCTGGGGTTAAAGATGTACGCCACCACTGCCCAGCTCTGTCTTGTCTCCCCCCAACCCTTTGGTTTTTTTGAGACAGGGTTTCTCTGTGTAGTTTTGGTGCCTATCCTGGATCTCGCTCTGTAGACCAGGCTGTCCTCGAACTCACAGAGACCCGCCTGGCTCTGCCTCCTGAGTGCTGGGATTAAAGGCATGAGTCACCACTGCCTGGCCTGTCTTGTCTTTTTTAAAGACAGGATCTCCCTCTTGCCATCATGGAACACTCTATGTAGACCATGCTGGCTTGAACTTCATAGAGATTCCCCTGCCTCTGCCTCCAGAGTTCTGGAATTAAAGGCCAGGGTCACCAAGTCAGGTGACAAACCTTGGTCTATTTAAAATCCTGTGCCGTGGGTGCTGGAGAGCGGGATAAACAGTTAAACATTTGCTGCTCTTGAAGAGGACTCAGGTTCTGTTCCCAGCATCCCCAGGATGTCTCACAACTGTCTGTAACTTCAGTTCCAGGAATCTAGTGTCCTCTTATGGCCTCTGTGAGCACCAGACATGCCCCTGGTGCCCAGACATACATGCAAACAACACTCATACACATACAATAAAAACTATTAAATCTTTGAAAACTCAGCGGGACGAAGTGGGGTATGCCCCACACTCTGAAGGTAGAGGCAGGTGGTTCTCGAGTTCGAGGCTAGCCTGGTCTACATAGCTAGTTCCAGGAGAGTCAGAGCTACACAAACTCTGTCTCGAAAAACAAACAAAACAACAACAAACAAAAAATATTTTTAACTCTGTACAGAGACAAGCTGAGTAGATTCACAGTTCTGGGTCTGGTGGCCTGCTGCACTTGACAGGGACAAGGGCCCCCAAGGGGACATAACAGACCTCTTTGCGAGGTGTGGGAAGAACCAGCTCTGTCCTTCTGCTCATACAGGTAGCCAAGAAAAGAGGCCAGAAACACCACTAGGTGAAGAGAAACTCACAAGGAAAGACAAAAGGCCTCCAAGGTCGTGGAAGTGCTGCGGCTGGGGTTGGATACAAATGTGGGGCTCGGCTAGCACCCACGCTAGGCTGGCCAGGTAGAGGCACGCTGTACCCCGACTGCCGGGAGAGGGGGGTGCGGTGGAGGGAGCTCATGAGACAGCCGACCTGGCATCACTCAGCGCCATCAGGGTGCGAAGAGGCTGCGCACGGCTCGGTCCCACGCCTGCAGTTCCAGGCTGGACACCGGCGAGCCTGCCGCTGGGTACCTCCCTGCACCCTCAGCCCCTGCCTCTGCAAAGGGGAAGCACTGCGCAGGTGGTGGACTACCCGCCCACGGTGTGAGGACTGCAGTCCTTGGAAAGGGTGGGAGGGCACAGACTTGAAGGATACACAATTTGCAAGGGTCGGAAACCAGATGCAGGCATGCGTGCACGGATGCCTACCTGTGCAGTGTGTGTGTGTTGCGGTGTGTGTGTGTGTGTGTGTGTGTGTGTGTGTGCATTTGTGTGAGTGTTCGGTATGCACACATCCTTCTTTACCTACCAAGTGCTTGGATGCCAGGCATGTGCCACCCACCATTCTTGGCTTCACACATAGGTGTCATTAGCGTGTGTGGCAGTTCTTTTTGCCCAATTCACATAAAACCCCACAAGGAAATGTATTTCCTCCCTGTTCTTAGAAAACTGTGGCATCGAATTTGAGTCGCATGCCCAAGAATACAAAGTAATAAAACCAGGCAGGATGGCTTAAGCCTTTAATCCCAGCACTAAGGAGGCGGAGGCAGGTGGATCTCTGTAAATTCAAGGCCTGGTTGGTCTACAGAGCGAGTTCCAGACTAATCAGGGTCACAGAATGAGACCCTGACAAAAAAATAAATAGATAAACAAACAAATAGATAAATAAACAAAGTAGTCATGCCTCTGTTGAAAATCCCCACAGCTGAAGCTGACTAAGCCATGAAGACATTTATGCACTCAAATTTTGTTTTTGAGGGGCTGGCAACTGAACCCACAGTGGTGGTGTTTTAAATGAAGTGCCCAGGGAAAAGCCTTACCTGTGTTAAGGAGCTATAGCACTAGTGACTAAAACTTCTGTGAATGTGGCGAGCTGGAATGTTCTCGAAGACATACCTCGGCTATCTTCAGCCCCGCCCCCGCCCAGCCCCCGCCCCGCCCCCTCCTCCCATTAGCTATCCATTGCCAACCTCTGTGTCTGACCGGCACTGATCCTGAGGGCTGAGTACCATGGCTCAGAAACACAAATTTAGGTTACTCTCAAAGCCATTGCCCAAACATGGTAACAGTTTGATGAAGTTTTATTTTTTAATTTTCATGTGTGTATATGGTGTGTGTGGGCTGTGTGATTACAGAGTTCAGAAGACAACTTTGTGGAATCAGTTCTTTCCTTCCACCCTCCTGGGTTCTGGGGACCAAACTCAGGTCATCAGGCAAGCATTTGCCCTTCAAGCCATCTTAACTGGCCCTCGTGAGGATTTTGCAGTAACAGAACAAAGTCATAGATCAAGACGCTCAAAACCCCATTGGTGGGTCTGGCGATGGTGGTGGCGCACGCCTTTAATCCCAGCACTCGGGAGGCAGAAGCAGGCAGATCTCTGTGAGTTCAAGGCCAGCTTGGTCTACAGAACGAGATCCAGGACAGGCTCCAAAACTGCACAGAGAAACCGAAACCCTGTCTCAAAAAAAAAAAAAATGTATTTATTGCCTGTATTGGTGTCTCTCAGGCCTTTGATCCCAGCACAGAGGTGACAGAGGCAGGCAGACCTCCGAGTTTTAAGTATACATAGTGAGTTTCAGGCTGTCCAGGGCTGTAGAATGAGACCCTGTATCCAAAAATTAAAAAAAAAAAATTGTTGCGGCCTCAGCTTCTGTCAGCAGAGCTGGAGCAGCTGGGCTGGGCCACACCCCAATCTCCCTCTGGGTTTCTAGAAGGAAACTTTGAGAGTTCAGGCGGTTTAGCTCATTTCCATGGTCTCATTATAGGTGACCTCTCTGAGGCATCACACGCATCAGTGTGTGCTCCAGCATCTCATTTCCCTGGTTGCTCACACTCTCCCTCCCCTCTTCCGTCTTGGGGGCAAAGCTCCCCTGTCTGAGCTCATCCCCTGAGTGAGAGAGAGGAAGGCAGGTGAAAAAGGGGTTCTCTCTGGAGGCTCCCAGCTTGTGAGACAGGCTAATTACAGGCTTCCTAATTAATGAGCCATGGGGTTGCATTTCATCAACTGAGTCATGACTAATGTCTGGGTCTCACTCTGGGCCCAGAGAGAGGGCATCAAGAATTAAGGAAGGTCACGGGAGGTAGAGGCCAGCTTGGGCCTGCCATCTAACCCATTTGATCTTCTGCATTTACCCTTCTAAGTTTTTAAACTTATTTTTCAGGTACATGTGTATGCGTGTGTCCCTGTCTTGTGAAGGCAGGAGCCTGAAGAGGCATTGAGTCTCGAGGCTGGAGTTACAGGTGTTTGTGAGGCACCTGACATGGGAGCTGGGAGCTGAATCTTACCCACTGGGCTCTCTCTCCAGACTCCTGCCCCCCCCCCCCCCCCCCCCCCCCCCCCGCCTTTTCAGGTCCATTTATGTAGTCTATGTGTATGAGTCTGTGCACCGCATGTATGCTTGGTGCCCTCAGGGGTCAGAAGACAGCCTGGATCCCTTGGAACTGGAGTTAACTGCACAGTCCTTTCTCCAGCCTTCCTTGCCTTTTTGAGTCTCACTCTGTAGCCCTGGCTGGCCTGGAATTTACTATGTAGCCCAAGCTGGCTCGGAAGTCACAGGGATGTGCCTGCCTCTGCCTCCAGAGTGCTGATACCAAAGCCAGTTGCCATTACACCTGACACACCTTGTCCCAATGAAGCCCAATTCTTCCCACAGGTGAGAGTCACCCCAGTCCACCCTTCTTAGTCATGAATTATTTCTGGGACTGCTGTCCCCCCATTTTCTCCCTCATGCCTTCAGATTCCACAAGGGCCACCCAGGGTTCACTGGGCACCAACTCACACATACTTCTCCAGTCCTGCAGATTCTCTGCCAGACTTCTTGTCTCTGGCCACATGTATCACACACCTGGAGTCCCCATGAAGCACAAGCCCACCTCATCAGGAT